AAAAGTTTCACGATAGATGAATTTGAGAATTCTAAATCATAAACCCACACAACATCAAACGAATCATTGTACACAACGTATACCCAGTCCGCCAGTCGACATGCGACATATGGTGACGAACGAGAATGCGACTTCTTGAGGACGACAGAACATCCAAAAGTTGTAAATTATTCGAGGGATTATATGTGCAGATAGAATGAATCCTGGGAGAGATAAACAGTGACATGATGTTGCTGGTGGGAGGTCGAATTAAATTAATGCTCTTTTTAATGCCCAGTGGAATTAAAGGTGGCAACATGTCACAAGCATAGAATCCGGTGCAGCACACAGCGCCCGTGTAGAGTCTCGAGACTCTTCATGTCTCGCGGACTAGCCTTACTCTCATCAGGAAACAGCAATAGCTTCCGACTAATTGTGCTTTTCAAATCATATCAGTCTTCAAACTTTATCAGGTTGGCATGTCTGACTCGACCAGCCAGACCTTAGCGTTTAAGACAGAACATCTTTAATGCTATTAATGCCCCCTTTACCTAATTGGCAAGTAACTAGTTGGCCCATTCATTCCTTGAGTCTTAACGAAAATAGTACGTGACAAACAACATACATACATATGCATATACTACATACATGTTCCAGAAATTAAAGATTACATGCATTTCCGGCCGGTATCTTTGCAACTTTCTTGGGACTCTTATTACTTAGAACGATGCAATTCTTACACGCCCACGTGAATTGGTAAAAGGTTTTTGTCGGTCGATCCTACTTATATTAGGTGTATCTTTTTAGCCACGTCCAATTCCTTTAGCTTCTTCTTACTTTTTCCGTCTTAATAGTAACTGTAACCGGCGACCAAATTTTGGAAAAAATTCCATCAAAGATGATGGCCGGTCTAAATGGCAAATGTTTAGTATGCTAAGGTTCTTATTCATCTTGCCAACTCTAACAATTCGATTGATTCTTGATTGGTTTATTACAAGCAAAGATACATGATCAAGCTCTGATAGCAGTAGTATAAAAGTTTTATCCATTTCATTGAATATAATGGCTGGTCGAACTCTTTATGAAAATTAGATCTTCCCACTTAATAAATTCGCTAAGGTGATTTACCCTTCTACTATCCTGTCGAACTGGGACTTGCCATGACACATCATCAGATGTGAGTTCTTGGATTTGGACACTTGCATCAGAATTCAAAAATTGCGCACTGTACTGTACAAATTCATAAAGCAAATTAGATTAGATAATGTCTTGCCCAAAATAGCTGACTCTACCAAGGAACATGCAACCCTTTTAAGTCATCATCACATGCTGCAGGGACATGTGTTTGAAATTTAATGGTTGGAAAAAAAAAAAGAAAAGATCAGAAAAATATATGTATTGCATTCTTCTAGTTTTGCTTTCATTGCTAAATTCATTCCAAATTCTTCACCCTGTCTTCATCAACTTTTAGGTCATCTTAGTGTGTTACTTCATACAAATATAATTAGTATCAACTATAAGTATAATTATATTAACTGGTTTGTTAGACCAAACATATTTAACTATACAATCTTCATTTTAAAAGTTTTAGATTCAAAGTGACAATGAAGTTATTAGCCTTCTTGATTTAATTTGAATTGAGCATTATAGACAATTTAGATTAGTTTTTTTTTTTTTTTTTTTTTTTTTTTTTTTTTTTTTTGGTCTTTCGTTGACTAGGGCCACAAGGCAAAGTTTATCCAATGTGCACTATCGGGTTGACTAGGGCCACAAGGCAAAGTTTATCCAATGTGCACTATCGGATAGTGACTGAGTTTTTCTCGTCACCTAAAAAGTCGCTTTTAAACAAATTCAAAAGCATGTACAAATTTAACAACCTAACATCTGTTTAAAAAAAAAAAAAAAAAACAACAACAACCTAACATCCTAATGAACTAAGAAAATACTATTTGTACCGTCAAAAGACTAAGCTAACAAGTTTAAATAAAAATTAAACAAAAAATGAAAATAAAATAAAAAAAGATAATCTTACTTTTCAACAATTCCCATAATAAAATTTCTATTTTCTCTCCTCCTTTAGATCCAAATATATATATATATATATATATATATATATATATATATATATATATATATATATATATATTTTATTCTTTGTCTATACAATTTCTTATGAAACAGTTTTTATATTTTCTCAAAATCTACTCTATAAAGCAAACATGTATTACGAGTGAAGAAAGTCGAAGTTTCAATCCTTTCCTTTTTGACTAGGTTGGAAGAATAATTAATGATTCAACAAAAGTTGGATTTATCACCTATTAAAGACGATAGCAACAAAGGTATGTCTTTGTTACTTTGTACCTCATCTTATATACTTTTTTTTTTCTTTTTACTTTTTTTTTTTCTTTCTTCTGATTGCTTCTTATTATTATATTTATTAATTATGTTGTATTGAATTTATATATTTATTTATAATTGTGATAAGAAGAAGACTTTTCGAAGACTTACAAGAGACCTCTAACGTACGCGTTTCTAACGAGGTATATGCGTAGGAATCTTCGTGTTCTTTTCGTGTTTTATTTATTTATTTATTTTTATAGCTTGAACCATGTATAGAATAGGAGATTATATGTTTTGCTGACAAGGGATTGGATCGACCTTTCAAAGGTCTTACAGTTTTTTTTTTTTTTTTTTTTTTTGGTACAAAATTTTGTTACAATTTATTGGTACTTTATATATTATTGAAAAAAATTAGTTAAAATAATATTTAAAATGACTATTTTGAGGTATAATTTTGATTGGGGTTCATTTTCAATCCGATCATGTCAAAGCGGATTTAAGCTTTTCTAGATAAGATGTTTAATATTATGCACTCAAAATGAATAATAAATAAATAAAAAATTGATTCTCAAGACATACCATTCGAGTTGAGAAAATTAGAGTTGGGAGGCTTTTCAGTAGCATTCGTCCCATGTTGAAAAGATGCAACTTTATTTTCTTATACACATCTATAGGTCAGTCTGACCTGGATTACACATTTACATGCTTTAATTTGATTCAAACACACACATAATCAATTTGATACCAATTATCAAAGTCAACCATTTATCACTATACTAAAAATTATATCTAATAATGAATCCACAACCTTTTTCCCTCCACATAGCAATAATCATCATATTTCGATGACATGACGTTGGTCGTTGGCCATTCAACTTGGCCGTCCAAACCTTCACCTAACAAAAGAATAGCATGATTAAGGTACGTGCTTATTTTTATATAAGACAAAATAAACTCTATTGAAATAACGTTATAATTGAAAATTTCAAATAATAGTAGTTAAAAACTATTTTGTCTTACGGAGTATATATTTTGATGTTAAAACCTTGTAAAAGAGTTTATTAATCATTATATTGGTACATTATTCAAGACCCGGAAAAAAAAAAAAAAAAAAAAAACTTTGTTAGCATCAATGAATTATTTGGAAACTTCCAGCTTAATCAGCATCAATGAATTATTGTACTTCTGATCTATATATGGTTTTAATTTGATAAAAGAAAGGGAAAATGGAGGGAAACAACATATTTTTACATGATATATATATATATATATATATATATATATATATATATATATATATATAAGGGATTAGGTGCAGAGATTTTCTCAGGTGGAACGTGCGGATTAATTACATCATTTAATCTTTCCAAAATCAACGATTCAGAATAGAATTAAAAAAAAAAATGTGACATTATGATCATTTTCCGTAAGGTCACAACTTAAGATGTGTAAGTTTATATATAACATTAAATGTCTAAGTTTAAAGTTTGTGTTTACATTAAAACTTAAGGTGCGTAAGTTTATAGTTTTAATGTGCGTAAGTGTGTAAGGTTTAAAGTTTAAGGTGCATCACTTTCTAATTTATAATGCATCAATTTAATTTTTAAAGTGCGTATATTTAAAACTTAAGGTGCGTAAGTCTATAGATTTAGGTGTCTAAAGGGGGTGTATTCAATCATGACTTTTTAGAGTTTTAAAGACTTTTAATAAACTTTGATGGATTTTCATAGAGTCGTTCAAAACTTTTTAAAACTTTATAAGTCTATATAAAAAACATTTATAGACTTTTATCAACTTTTTATTTTAAAAAGTCTACAAAAGTCATTGAAATTCTAAATTGAATACATCCCTACAAACTTTTAATGATTTTGATTCTTATCATTTATAATTTTCTTTAAAAAAATTTATAATATATCATAAAATTTTCATATTATGTAGTTCTTCACCCACGTCAACATTCTCAACATTATATATGATCACATATATATATCTTGTATTAACCTCTAAGTCGTTTTTTTTAGATACCTCTAAGTCGTTTTTTTTTTAGATACATCTAAGTCGTTTTAATAACGATTTTAATTGTGATAAAAAGTTAATCTACTATTAAATGTACGTTGAACAAGCTACATTTTAAAAGAATATATATTTACTTATTCTATGAAAAATATATATCCTCTAAAATAATGATAGACACTTTGATATAGAGATATAGAGTTAGACATTTTCATAATCGACTTAGATAGAATGAAAATGTTGAGAAATCATGTCTTATTCCTAACATGTATTATATAATAAGAATAATACAAGTTGATGTGCACAAGGCTCAACCTCTTAACCTCGTTTAAGTAAACACATTTTTTAGTAATTTATATCTACCTATTATTTACTTATATGTAAACATTTACTATATATATACACAAGGGACTACTATATATAGGGGATGGGGGATGGTGACAATCGCACTTGAAAATCGTATATGACTATTTTGATCTTAAGAGTGTTAATAATAATTAAATTTGTGATATTTTTAGTATGAGTGTTATATCTTACCTACTTGAACAATAATTTTCAGTCAAAACAACCATTTCTAGAGAGCTCAAATTAAATGCTGAACTACATTTCGGGGGTCTCTTTCGAAATAACCAAAAACCATGCTCCTCGTGCACTAAAATTTTAACCCAATTTCTAATTTTGCTCTTCGGGTCCAATTTCTAATTAGGTTTCATTTTCATATCCGAATTGGGGGCTAGGGTTTCCAGATTTCGCTTTACAGGCGTTGCGTTTGGGCAATGCAGGATTCGGACAGAAGCAAGCTGTTTGTGGGAGGGGTTTCCCGGCAGACTACCGACGAGACCCTCAGGGAACACTTCTCTAAGTACGGAACCGTGGTTAGCGCTGCGATCGCCAAGGATGGAATTACCGGCAACCCTCGAGGGTTCGCCTTCGTCTCCTTCACCGAACCCTCCGCCGTTGATAATGCCCTCCGAGATACCCATGAAATCCTCGGAAGAACGGTCTGTCCTCATAACCTTCCCTTCTGACGGTTTATATTGATAAAGTTTGTCTCTTTATTTATTTATTTATTTGTTCTTGTTTTTGAGCTGTTATTCTTAGTGGGTGGTTTGGATTTATAGCTGGAAAAGTTTTCTTTCAGCTAACAAACAAAAATTACCATCAACTTAGCTTGTTTTTATTTTTCGGAAGATAAAATTTTTGAAAATGTTATACAGTAGTTAATTTTGCCTTCTCTTGTTCTTTTCTGCAATAAAGTGAAAATTTTGTTGAAGGAATTACAGTGTTCTTGGCCAGTATTGCTGTCATATTATTGCAAAATTTACCCTTTTTTTCATTAAAAGAAAGCTTTGGTCTTTTGCTGATATGAGTAGTTGCTTATTTTGTTGCTGTTTTTTTTTTATAGGTAGAGGTGAAAAAAGCAATACCTAGAAGTGAACAAGAACAAAGAGAACAACATAGTAGGCAGGGGTTGAGTAGGAGTAGTAGGACTAGCGGTAGGAGCGATAACCAGTTTAGCACAAAAAAGATTTTTGTCGGGGGGTTATCAGCTACTCTAACTGAGGAAGAGTTCAAGGGTTATTTCGAAAGGTTTGGTAGGATCATGGACGTAGTTGTGATGCACGACAACGTGACCCATAAGCCACGGGGATTTGGGTTTATTACTTTTAGTTCAGAGGACGCTGTTGAACAAGTTACACAGAAGAATTTCCATGAGTTGTGTGGTAAGCTTGTAGAGGTTAAGAGGGCTGTACCGAAAGATGGTAGTAGCAGTAGCAGTCACAGCCACTTTTATAATGGTAGTGGAAGGGGTGCTTCCTTTGAAAGTTACCAGCACTTAATTTATCCACCTGTTAGTCCTAGTTACAGAGTTTTCCCCAGTTATGGACCTATTACGGGGTATGAAAGTGTTGCAGGGTATCCATATCAAGCTGGATTTATCGGCAGTGATTACCCTGCTGGAACATACAGTGGATTTGTTTGTGGTGCTGCTCCTTTTGCACCTAGGGGTCCTTGGATTGGCTCAGGAAGTTCATTACCTTATGGCGGTGCAACTATCTATCCTGCCTATTTGAACGGTGGAGTTGGAGTGATTGGCATGACTACTAGTGGATTTAATGGGTTTATGGGAACTGGAATAAATGGGAAACCCGCTCAACCTGGAAGCACAGGGCGTATTTCATTCAACCCACAGTCAGATTGGTAGAGGAAATGTACATATAAATTCTTTAGCTTCTGTTGGAAACTTAGGTGTTGCTACTAGCAAAAACACATTCGACGAGGTAAAGAAATTCTGATTGGCTACCTTGTGACTAGATGTAGATACAGTGATAGATTAGTAACTTTTCTGATTGAGGATATGTTGCTATTATTTGTTAAGATGTCCTTTCTGGGCTGCCTTATATATCCCTATCAGCTTTCTAGGTCTGTGTTGTTTTTTATGTTCAATATAACTCTATGAGTACATATTTAGACAGATCACGCGTTGCAGTGTAGCAGGTTGTATCAGATACTGTTAGCACTACACGACACCAGGTTGTATCAGATACTGTTAGCACTACACGACACCTTTGCCGTTGGATATCATCTATAAGGATTATTGCATCTTCCACCACTTTGGGTCTGGGAATCCTGCAATGCATCAAGTTGGTTGATTAGTCCACAATCCCTATTGTGACATAAAGAATTTCATTAAAACTTTATTAATTATATTTGAAGGATGATAATATGATATGTTCAATGTTTTATTCCATCACCTACTACATCATACTATACGTATGATTGATTGATTGTTAATCAAATCTCACCCAACTCTGGTCTCAAAATCATCTTTATTATTACACAGTAACAAAGGGAGATCATGCATGCATGGGGGTAACTTTTTATAAAGAGAATTCATGGGGGCAATTGGGCAAAGCCTCTCTTTAAAGATATAAACTCACAAAGCAAACTTTCCCTTAGTATGTATACAACAAGTTAATATTTTATCTAATTGAACAGAAAGTGAAATTCGAATCTTAAAGTCAAGATAGAGTTTATATGTTGGTGATAACCCTAGATCGGACAGTTGGCTTGAGAGCCAATTTGCTATCACCTACAAGCAACCTAGGCAAAGTTGGGTTTGGTCTGGGAGCCAGTCTGTTATGGACAATCTGGTTTAGTTATTACATATAGAGGTTAGATGTTAAGTTTACTACAATAGTGTTTTGCTAATTGGTTGAGTTAATAAAGTTAAGGGCAAGCAAAATATAATTAAACATAAGCTTTAGAGATTCTCTTCACTTTAAGGTATCTAACCCATCATTGCTAGGTAGGCGGAAAAAAAGAGGCATTGCATGCCGGTGCCGCATGCGTGATCGTGTGGGACTGCCTTGCTTAAATCTTAATTATGATTAATGATGTTGATTTACTGTTTCTAGCAGTACGAGAACACATGTTTTTTTTTTTTTTTTAACAAATGAAGGGTTCCACTTTAACCTGATGAGTGCTCCATTATGGTTTTCTCTTCTTATCAATGTCTGGTTTTGGTGGTTTTGGTCTGATAACTACAAAGTTGCAAGTTCGACTCTCGGCCTTCTTAATTTGAATTGGTCAGTTATGAACAACCTATGCTGATTTACCTTTTTGTGGTCCTTTGTCGGCAAGAATCACAAGGCAGAATTTATCCAGGGCTATGAGGGGACTATAAGACTAGTTGGCAAACGTGTCGGTCAAAATTTGGGAAAGAAAGAGACGTCAAGCAACAGCAGCAATCTTGTGTCTCAAAACCTATTCAAGATTGCTACATACACATGTCTCTAGTCGACACAAACTACAAACTATCATGACTGGTGACTGGACAACATTTTAAAAACTCAATCCGTACATATAAAATACAGTTCATTCCTTGGCAATCAATTTACTAGGAAGTAGGAACTAAGCTATGTAATAATGTTGCCAGTGGTTAAACAGGTAGCTTGGGCAGGTAAAAGAAGGGACAGCCTTTCATTCTTTATAATGTTATCACTTACGTTGTACTGTCTTTTTGATATCTTTCTTTGCTGTTTCTGCAAGTACCCATTTGTTAGTGAATTTGGTCCTTTTTGTTTAACCAAGCATCTGATGCCTGCCCAGAGAGATGTAACAAACACCTTATTTTAGGAACTGTTCCCAGGCCCTGCTTCTCACTATATTAGTTAGAGTTTGGTGCTTTTGGACATTTATGGCTACCCACTTCAAGAATGTCTGAAAGGGATCCTTTAGGGTTAGCCTTTTCTTGATACATTAGGTTTCCAGCTTACGGCAGACTAATCTTAAGCCACCAGAACCCCTGTTCAAGAGTCACGGGGGAGGTAAATCGCGAGTCGCTCAAACAGCCTTCCAGTCAGTCTCTGTCGTTGACTCTGAGCACAAGAGATCTATCTCCACACTTCTGCCAATTTGGGGAGTCTTTTCCTTGCTTTAACCCTAATGTGATGTCCCCTCTCAGTCCTATAAAGCTGCCATATTATTTTGTTCCTTGTTGAGTCCTCCAAGATATCACCAGCTGTTTCTGGTCAAGCCCACTTTACCTTTCCTTACATAATTGATTCTTGTAAATAGTAACAATCAAATCTTGGTCCTCAGGGTTCACTGTGAATTTGGTTTTGCCTTTTGAGGGTGATCAACTTTTGGAGTGTTTCTGCAAAATGGGCACTGAGGATAATGGTGAAATGGGACTCCACTTGTTTCAATGTGGCTCTTATTGGGATCCTCTTGTGTCAATGGATCAAAGTTTACATTACCCAGTTTTGCTTGATGATCAGCCAATAAACAGAAACTCCCACCTTCTTCACTATCCATCAAATTCAAATCTGGCTGATATGCTGCCAAAGATTACAGCTTTTGAGAATGAAGGTTTCTCAGAGATGATCAGTTCTTTCGGCGCCTCAGATTTTCATCCAAATTATGCCCACAATAATGTGGTTTCCATTCAAAATTCTCAAGAGGATTGCTGGAATATGGAAGAGGTGAGAAAGAGGAAATCATCAGAGCCTCATTCTCCATCCCATAAGGTATAATATAAACTTTTGCTATCATAACATGTAAATTAGTGCCATGAGATGTTAGTTTGTGAATTCTTTGAAACTTGTAGAATGTTGAAGACAACACAGCAGTAGATAATTCAGAATGTTCGAAACAAGAAGACGAAAAGAAACAAAAAACCGAAAAGAGCTCCAGTTTGATGGCCAAGTTAGCAGGGAAACAAGTAAAGCACGATGACTCCAGCAATGGGAAACCTCGTAACGAAAATTATGTTCATATGAGAGCTAAAAGAGGCCAGGCTACAAACAGTCACAGCCTCGCAGAAAGGGTACATAACGCTCTCCCTCCCTCTTAGTTTTGTTATCAATATGTTATAATAAGAAGACTCGATTTCTTTTTGATTGGTTGGCAGGTGAGAAGAGAAAGGATCAGTGAGAGGATGAGATTGCTTCAAGAACTCGTCCCGGGCTGCAACAAGGTAGTATTTGCTTCTGATCTTGCTTCATTCCTTAGTGTGAGCATATAGCCATTAATGTGCAATCCAACTATCAGCTTAGGCTTTTAGTTGAGATGGAGCACATGAGCGACTACGGTCCACGTGTTGCTTGGAACCCACCGCACACGTCTGATTTTTTATTGTTTTTTTGCAGATCACTGGGAAAGCTGTGATGCTTGATGAAATTATTAACTATGTAAAGTCACTCCAGCAACAAGTCGAGGTACGTTTTACATCAAAAATCATATCTCTCTCCATAATTTTGGCAGCTAGAAGGTTGATTAATGATTATGAACTGATTCCTTAATCCTAGCTAGTTCTTGCTGATCTATATTCATCATTTCATCTATTATCCGAAAACTAAAGTAAATCGTTCCACCATTTATGAGACTTTAATGTTTCAGTTTCTGTCGATGAAACTAGCAACTGTGAATCCGGAGATTAACCTTGACATTCAACAAGCAATGACCAAAGAGGTAAGTGTGAAGAGCAACAAATAAGGATCATATCTGCAAATCTGCAACTATTAGCCAGGTATAAACCTGAAACCTGTCAACTATTCTTTCTGATGCAGATTTTTGCTAATGTACCCCGTCGTGGATTTAGCCATGGCATTAGCTCCTCCCAAACATTCCCGGGATTTCGACAGGGAGCTTTCGCTAACATCCCAAATACCATCCCACCAATTCGCCCCTCGCCTCAGGTAAATCATTAATATTCTTGCATCATATTCCTACTTGTTATATATTCTGGTTGCAAACTATTTTGATGAGACTAGCTACATTTTCCAGAACGTATTGAGCAATGATCTTCACAGTATTCTCCCGACGACATTAGATTCTAGCTCTTCTATGAGTAGAATGGATCCAAACAGTAAGACTCCACAGTTTCATCAGCAACAATCGTATCCTCTGCAATTTTCTGTGTTCTTGCTAAGTCTGAAATGTAGTTCATCTTGTTTAGCAGGGAAGTAAAAACTGGAGTGAGGGGGCGTGAAGTTCTTCATTCCTCCATTAAAGCTTCCTTCAAACAAAGATTCATCAGACACAGCTTGACTGCAGAATCTGTTTCAGACAAGAAAAGTAGCAACTACAGATAAATTTTCGGAGTTGTATAGGTCTGCTTAATTAGCTCCTTAATCTTTTGTTCTTCGCATTTTAGCAGAAGAATAACGTTTAATGTTTAACATATATGGTCATGCGTACATATAATGTCGAGTGTTGTTGAAAGCAAAACTGCATGATCCAAGGTCTGTGTTAAGTGCAGATGCATGCTTCGTTTCCCGATAATTCTAGAAGGTAGAAACATACATATCACCTTCGAGTTTTGACTAATTTAATGCCAAATTACACCGGCACTGTTTGGTAATACAGTTAGCTTGTTTATTTGATCACTATTAAGTATTAACTGTTTAACTTAGTTAAACATTCAATATAAGTGTTTGATTAATTAATTTTTTATAACAGCTTATTGCTTCAAAATGCTGCTCAAAACAGCTTTTTCGATCAATTTTTGAGAAAGTCACTGTGCATGTGATCAGTTATCAGCTAATAGCTAATTTATCAAATATCTTTCTACAATTGGTTAATGCTATCAACTACTCAAACTCACTAACTCAATCAGCTAACAACTAACAACTATTTACCAAATATCCTCACTATTTTTTAAGTGACGGAAAAACACACAGCTAGTGCCCGAAAGTGTGTACGAGGTAACCAAGTAAACACCACTTTTCTGTTAGTAGTGAAACTTGTAATTTTGTGGTTATGAAGTCGACCAATCTGATTAACTTGAATGAAATTGCCTTGAATTACGGTATTCTTACATGCTCGTTACACCATTAAATATTTTGGCACGTAAATAAAGTTGTTTGCGTTTGCAGTCACGGACATCATGGGAGATTGTTATGTATGCAACAACCAAGTCGGCAGCATGTTATGCATAAAGACCGGGGGTCCACCCGACCAACCCATTTTAACAATTATTTAAAGTACTCCTATTAATTAAAAATAATTGTTGTAGCATTTATTTTATAATAAAAAAAAAAAAACACTACTCCATGGTAGTTCACTAGCTCTCATGCATGTCGAGTAGGTTATGCCACCAAACGCTATTAATTCATATCCGTCTCTCTTTCTCGTGTTTCTTTAAACTTATAGAAAAAAAAAAATTGGATACTTTTAGTCTTTAATCGAGTAATAGATTTAACCGTTCAGTTATTATAAAATTAGGATTAGGATGATGTCATTTTTCAAGCCTCGTATAATAAGGTTTGGCTAATATTGTTTTATTCACGATGTTTGAATCAAAGGCTTTATTAGGAGGAATAAAAAATGTTGTATTGGAGCTACAAGTTGTTGATTTAGGATGTCTGTTGTGGTTGAGTAGGGTCATATATGTTCTTGTCTTGGCAACGTTGTAAAGAAAACACCTTGAGGACAAATGTCACATGCAATGTTTATACCTTTCTCAAATTCTCCTCCCCCCATCCTATTTATTAACCCATTTGGTTATTGGACCACAACCCCTTTATTTCTTCCATTCCTTTAGCCTTTAGGTACCCTCACGAGAAAGAAAACTCGACTGAATTAGTCTTATTTTACATGATACAGATACGAGATACTAATACAGACTTTCATTCTTTATTGAGTTGTCAAGGCTCGATCTTGTGTCGTTATCCACAATTTACTACCCAAAAATCAACTGAACTCCCCTTGCGAGCCTCTGATTAACAGTTGGAATATATGAAGAAAGCCTAAAAAGAATATGAATGTGCTTCAAAACACATATGAACAAAACTATTGTCCTGGGTGGGGGGAGTTTGGCACTATTGAACCATAATAATAAAAAAAAATGTCTGGAAGCAAATTATATGGGAAAGATTTTTTCTGCTCCTTTATATCAACTGTGACAATATCTCGTGTTGTTTGATGTTTCAACTGACAAATTCTTCTTACAAAAGAATGTAGCAAGGAAAAAACGAAAGAATCCGAAAGAGATAACTTACAGGATGGAAAACGGGGCGTGGAATATAGTAATGAACAATACCATTCAGTACTCTACCATCATTCTCTTTCAAGCTGAAACGCGGTTTAGACTTCAATGGGGCCACTCCCCCGAAGCTCTTCTGTATGTACCTCTTCGGTTTCAGCAGATAGTCCCGGGCTTGTCTATTATTACACGCAAACCATCTCTACCGCTATGAACCCTACCTACACATCTCGGTTTAGTTGACCTGTTCACCTATCAAGTCCAGCCCGACGAGAAGGAAGGATATTCCTTGAAACAGCAAGAAGTAGAAGTGGATGCCCTGAGCCGAGAGGAGGCTCCTCACTGAAGCTGTCAAAAGAAGGAAGGCGAGGGCGAGTTCTTTTGTGTATATACGGTTATGCTTCTTCTTCGGGGCAGCTTTCTTTTCCTTCTGTTTAATTTCCTCCCGCAATTCATCCAAATCTGGCACCGATGACGCACCTCGTTGCTGTTTAGGTTTTTCGTCAACCAAGGAGGCGAGATCGCCCTCGGAAGAGCGGCCGAGTTTTTTAGTTACAACCCACTCGTATGCACTTCCGAGTTGGAAGAGTCCCGAGATCATGGCGTTGAACTTGGTTACCGACATCGTGTTTTCGAATAAAAGATAGGGTATGATGAAGGGGAATGATTTCGGGGCAGGAAGTATGTTGAGAAGCGAGATCGTGGCGGGTATATAACAGACAATCCACGATGGTAGTGAAGCCTCGGGAACGAACATTGTCATGGGAAGAATAATACAGAAGAGAGTGAAAGAATAAAACGGTAGAATCAACTTCCTCAGAAGGAAGAAGAGAAAAATTAAATTGAATTTCTTCCAAACGCTAATCTGCATCGACCAATTTTACCGTAGAACAAGGTCAGCAATTGCGTCCACATACTTAAAACGCAAAAACACGACAAAGGGAATGCTTACATATGACACATACCTTTGCTTTAATAATGTCGGGCAAACAGAGTCGGAACAATTGCATCGGTCCAGAATGCCATCGATGTTGTTGCTTCCTGTACGCTTCGTAAGATTCTGGCAACTCACATTCGCACTGAAAATTGAAGAAATTCTCTTTCGCTCAGAGGCAGTTTCAGTTTGTTAAGAAAAAGTAACTGAAAATAAAACGGCGCCTATACCTCAACGTCGTTAAGAAATATGAACTTCCATCCATGGAGGTGTGCCCGGACAGCGATATCCATATCCTCAACGGTTGTCCTTTCCAACCATCCACCGGACTCCTCCAACGCTTTTATTCTCCAAACCCCAGCAGTCCCGTTAAACCCAAAGAAGTTTAGAAAAATCCCGTTCACTTGCTGCTCCACTTCAAAATGAAACGCCAAGTTAATAAGCTGCAATCTCGTTAGCAGATTCTCATCGTTGTTCACAAAGGACCATCTCGCCTGAACCAACCCTAGTTTCTCGTTATCCTACAATTCAAACCGAAGAAGAATATAGAAATTTAATCAAACACACAACTCATGAATAACATAATGCACAAGTTCCTCAAACAAAGAAAAGAACAAAACCGTCATGCTTAGAGAACTAATTGAATTTCGGGAAAGTCTGAAAGTCAAATGAATGAGGTAAACATAAACAAATACCTTGAAATAGGGAACTGTTCTTTTAAGGAAATCAGGCATAGGCTGAAAATCGGCATCGAATATGGCAACAAATTCGTAGTCTTTAACGTAGCTGCAATTCATGGCAGACTTAAGATTACCAGCTTTATACCCCTCCCTAATCACCCTATGCCTGTACAAAATGTTGACACCTTCCTTCTGCCATTTCTGCACCTCCTCTTTGATTAAAGACCGAGTAATGGGATCATCAGAATCATCAAGAATTTGAATCAAGATCTTCGATTTCGGCCAGTCTAAGTTACAAACAGCACCTATAGATTGCTGATAAACCTGGTAACAACAGTAATGCCAGCAATAACAAAAATCAGACCAAGATACCAAACACCCAACAACAGAACATCAAATTCCTAAAAAGTTGACAACTTTGAAACAGAAAACAAAAGAAAAGGTTATTGTGAATTCAAGTGCATACCTCTCTTTCATTGCACATGGGGATCTGAACAAGAACCATGGGGAAGTAACCCCCACCTTCCTCACCAGATTCCAGATCTATTGTTTCACTGGCAACTGGTTTGATCCTCCTAAGCCGGATCCAGAAACAACCTAAGCATAGGATTAGCCTGTCTAAACTCTGGACTAGGAAGAGGATAATGCAGACACTGGCCAAGAATTGGAGAGGGGGAGCAAGATACTCCACTCTAACCAAAACCCACTTAGAATATAGCCAATCAAACACACCCTTAACAGCTAAAGGATCAGTCAAAGTGTAAAGGTACTCTAATTGAAGATCTGAGGCAATAAAGTGCCAGCCTTTGTAATATGCAGCTACCTCGAACCCTAGCATGAGCACAGAGAGCCAAAGGAACACCTTTATACAAGTGAAGAACCGGGTGTTGACGGCCCGGTTCTCCGAGGCGTTGGTGTCGGTGGAGTCGGTTCTCCCGGAAGCGACGCGGCGGCGGACGGCGGAGCCCAGGCTGAGCAATGCGGAGCCAATGGAGGTCAGGCAGCCGGCGGCCTTGTGCGCCTTGAGAAGGAGCACCCAAGTTAGCTGCTTGGCGTTCTTGTTCCGTACTTTCTCGCGGCGGTAGTTGGTGGGCATTGAGATATCATGGTCGCCGCCGGCGCCGTTGGGGATGAGAAAATCTTCCTCCGACGCCCCCTCCAGCTCCACCATTGACCAGTTGTTCGGATTCTCCATTTTCACCACCACAGGGGTGCCTCTATGGCTCTCCTTAGCCCACCAACCAAAAGAGGGAGCCATTACACTACTATCTCCACCTAAACTCCTTCCAAGATTGAAGCTTTCCGGCTTGGCCCTCACTTTTCAGCTCAAAAATCAACACAATGCGCCACACCCAGGAAGATGAACCAGTACAAACACTACCCAAAACACACTATTCCAACTCCATATCCAAAACTCTCTCTTCTCTCTCTCCAATTCTTGAATACAAAGAGCAGCTTAATAGATGGTGGGTGGGGGTCACAGTACAAAAGATTTAAAAAGAATGAAGGAGAACTCAAATTACAGCTTGCAAAGGCTCTCAAACACACAACACACAATGGGGTAGTGACTAGTGAGATACAGAGGCAGGGATGGGGAGTGGGTATGTTAAGAAAGAGATGGTGGGTAAGAGAGAGAGAGAGAAAAAAAAAGACTATAATGGTAACAGCTCAACACGC